TACTTGCTTTTCTGTATATTTATATAGATTAAAAAAAACCCAAGCAACATTTCCACAATTGCATTTTGTAGGAGGAAAATGAGAAGAAGAGTCACCACAAGGACCACTCAGATAATGAATCCACATCTTCTGATAAGTAAGTGTGCTTTAACGGTGATAATTCTGTAGTTGGTTTTAGGTGTTTTTTTACATAATTGCCATTTTCACGTTCACCTATTATATTTTTTGTATGTGCAGCTCTGGGAGGAGGAGAAGAGGACCTTTTAAAACAATCAAGTTCGGGACCAACATTGACCTGTCAGATGACAAGAAGTAAGTTGATTACCATTTCTCCTGCTCACAGTGGTATTCTACATGCTCCTTCTGGAAAAACCTGTGCATTCTGCTCAAACATCAGTCAGTCTGCTAATAAACCCAGTTCCAGTTGCACACCCCATTTGCACAATGAAATTCTTACCTTTAAACTGTTGCTCTGAGTCTTACTCCACTAAAATCTCTTCTAAAGCTTTTCTTTCCAGGACCTTTAATGAACTTAAACATCCATCAGAAACTGTTCTTACTAGTCATCCTTCTAATAAATTCCCTTTCTTTCATTTTGAGGCTTTAAATTGTTTGCTTACAACCTTAATTACCTCTGACAATACCAAGTTTTAAGTCTTTGCACAGAAATTGTAAGATTAAATTTTATTTCTCTTTTGTTTGTCTGGATTTTATTATTTTGGTTCTGTTTTCTTTTGTTACTACTGTCATCCTTTCATCCTTTCTCTTTCCATTTTTTCATAGCTCTTGATCCTCTATCCAGGAACAGGGTTCAAAATATGTAGTAAAGACCAGACCAGTGCTTACCTGTGGATAAGCCATGGTACCTCTCCCAGAACCTCAGGAAAAAAAAAGAATAAATTGAGTATTCTTTAGACTGTATATCCTTCTGTGAGCAATGAAGGTAGCTCAGAAAAACATCGGGAGGTATTAGAAATACCCTGAGCATGGTTTTAGTATCCAGTAATAAATTTTTATTTGGTTCAATCTCTAGTTAGTATTTATTTCCATAAAAGGTCCAGCATGTCTAGGCTGCCAGTCCCACCAGCTGCACTACAAAAATTCAGATCTGCTTGAATCATTAGAACAAGAAGAATCTGTCCACTCAACTGCCAGAATATTTCTAAATATTATCACCGATCTAAAATTGAAAAATAAACACAGATATCTGGGTGACATTTCAGAGACCTACACTGAAGTTCTGTGATTTTTATGTATGAAGATCTATGTTTTTCTTAATGCAAGTGTTCAGTTCTGTAGCACATGCATGTTGTTACCTTCTTGGTCACTGCAGTTGTGTGCGTGGGGTAGGATGTGTTTAGACAGTCTTCTTGACATGTTGCAGCATCATATCATTTGGCTCTTGAAAGCATGGTTAACAGTTTTTGACTGGCTGGCTTGAGTGTGGGGAGAATACATCTCTGTTTTCACTTGGAAAGGATGTACACAGAGGTGTAAATTGCAAGCAGAATTTCCTGGCAGTATAGCAGCAGAGTGGTTAACTGTGAGAGTGAGTCCAGCCACCCTGGCTTTTAGCTTGTTAAAATTTTGGTAACTGTCAAGTAGGGGTGCTGCATTGTCTCAGTTTCCCGCTTAATAGATGCTAAATTATATGGCACTGGGTTGTCTGCTCCTTTATCTCCTATGCTAACAAATTTTTTGGAAATGTTTCTATTTCCCAAACTCTTTTAAGAGTTTCAGAGATTCACAGTTTGTCGATTTGCTATTTTGCTGCAGGTGGAAGTTGCAACTCCATGAACTGACAAAACTTCCTGCTTTTGTACGTGTGGTATAAGCAGGAAATCTTCTAAGCCATGTTGGTCATACTATCCTGGGCATGAATACAGTGCAGCTGTACATGAAGGTTCCAGGAAGCAGAACACCAGGTGAGTGTAATATCTCAGCATGAAAAAAAAAGAGGTTCTACTGCTGTGGTATTGATTTAACTGCACTGCAGATTTCCAGATCTTACAGGATGCCTAAATGTGATGAAATTGTGCAAACTCACTATTAGTGTCTTGTTTAACTGAACTCTGTGTGTATGAAGTACTGAATTACCTTATAGTGGAAATTCCTGGATTTCTGCAGTGCTAGGTAATTACCATACTAACCTCTTGCACGCAATATTGGATTCTTTAAAGGGAAGAAAGAGGATGGGTTTATATAATTGGATATTATTTGTATTTTATATACCTTGAAAGTTTTTATAGGTTTCCAAAGTAGGTCTTGTGCAGTCATAGAAATTAGTGTACTTTCGCTTTTCAGATTCCTTACTGGCTGAGGATAGGACTCAACCCTCCATACTGAATAGTTCTCTGTTAGGACACTGGACTGAGACTTAAGGGATCTGAACTATATTTTAGCGTTTGTTTTTTTCTGAAGTAGGACTTCAGAAAATTCCACTAGGGATTATGGCTTAGTTTTCCAGCTGTCAAAAGAAGATAAAATACTGGCATTTCTACATTGATTTTGAAAGCTCTTCCGGAAAGATTTACTTAAAACTTGTCTATTCATTGCCAGAAGTCACGAAGTTTTGCTCCTGACTGGGACTGTCAAGAGCTATCATAAAAGACAAAATCTAAGCTTTAGTATCTTGAAGCATTTGTTTCTACAAAAAGGGAACTGCTGAAATACTGGTCAGATTCACAAGATTGATAGCTCCAGTTTCTCTTTTCCCATAAACTAACAAAAGCAGAATTCATTTGTCACTGGTAGCCTAATTGCATTTCTTAACACTGTGAATCATAGAATAGTTAGGGTTGGAAAGGACCTTAAGATCATCTAGTTCCAACCCCCCTGCCATGGGCAGGGAAACCTTGCACTAAACCATGTTGCCCAAGGCTCTGTCCAGCCTGGTCTTGAACACCGCCAGGGATGAAGCATTCACAACTTCCTTGGGCAACCCATTCCAGTGCCTCACCACCCTCACTGTGAAGAACTTCTTCCTTATATCTAATCTAAACTTCCCCTGTTTAAGTTTGAAGCCATTACCCCTTGTCCTACCACTACAGTCCCTAACGAGGAGTCCCTCCCCAGCATCCTAAGTACCTAAATAATGTGTGTGTCATATAAAAAAATGTACAAATACTTGAACTATGATATAGGGGGTTTAGTCATTGTAGCTTTGCATTTTCATAGCATGACTTTGGCAGATCAGCCTTGCATAAAGTGTGTTTATTCTTCTCTACATTTCAGGTCATCAAGAAAACAACAACTTTTGTTCAGTAAACATAAATATTGGTCCAGGTGACTGTGAATGGTTTGTTGTCCCAGAAAGCTATTGGGGTGTCATGAATGACTTCTGTGAAAAGTAAGCTGGGTGTGCTGTTTTTCTCTATTTCTGTCAAGTTCTCTGATGTCATTGGGGGAGATGACTGAGGGCGGTTTAAGTGGACATTATTCTATGGTATTTCCATGTAGTCAGAAAAGTCTTTTAAGATAAGTCAAAGTGCAAAACCTAGAGTTGGGAGTTTGTTTTGGGTTTTTGGGGAGTGATGGAGTATTTTCCTGGTGATGCATGCTGTTAATCCTTATTATGATTCATGTACGTGTTGTACATTGGTATTTTGGCATGGTTTCTTGCTGCATCTAGAGGGAGAGTTTAGTTTGCTCAGACCCCAGGAGGTGTCATGGCATGCTTTGCCATGTTTGTAGCTTGCTGAGGAAGTTGAGGTGCTCTGAATGTTAGGGAAACACTCAGCCAGGTCTAAGATTGGGGTTTCTGTGTGCCTGCACATGCACCCTCCAAAAAATATAAAGAGGAGGAGGAATTTTGTCCTCTAACCATGCTAGTACTCAAGATGTAGCCTCTGAAGCTGATCTGATGGGAGAATTTTTTTTTCTTATCTTGCCCAGTTAAAACTGGACTAAGCTCTTGACTTTTCTTCAGAGCTTTTCCAGAGCTCTGCTAATTCATCTAGGTGTCTCTGAACTCTCTATCTTCTGCCTGTCTACTGTCAACTGTTCTTATTTCATCTACTTGTACAAAGATCAGACATCTCAAAATTGGAATTCCACTGATGCAGTTGCAGTGTCTCTGATGACAACATGCCTTTTACACTCATGACGCTGTCCTTTTGAGGGTGACAGAGAATCTAATATCTCGGTAACCTCATAAAATGTCTAGTGTGCCTGATAGAGACACTGAATTGTCTTTCTTGAAAACTGTGAATGGCGTATGATCTCTCATGGTGCAGTATAAAAACGGTATAAAATTGGGGTAAGGATGGGAGAGAAGCATGCATTTTGCATAACCGTAGTGGGAGAGTTTGTCCTTAGGAAATACATGTGGAGGTGTTTTGTCAGTGCTTCTCAGGAGGGTCGACATTTCTTGGCTGAATGTAGCACAGACCTTCGGATCACGGTTGAGATGGTGCTAAGGAGTTGCTTGTTGTGTGGATAAGCTTCACGTGCATCCACTGACAATAGGAGTTCATGGTTGGCATTGTTCAAAGTGGAAGCATTCTTAAGAGCTGGTATGGTCTGTATATGAAATCAGTCACTGGTCAGAAATGCAGTATTTGGCACCAGGTCTGACCAAGGATTTCTCTGCCTCAGCATTGATAAAATACTGAGAAATAGAAAGAAAATAGAACTTAACTGGAAGCCATAAGGTGACTTCACATGGGCAGCTAGATGATTAAGTGGTTTAATGTATTGCAGGATGTGAAATGTGGAATTAGGATCAGGAATTTTATAGATTAAATTTTCCTTTTGACTGGTCATCCTGTATCACTGATTAGATGCAGAGTGTTTATCGTAGTGATGAGTTTTTACAGGCAATTTCATTGATGTATCAACCATTAATATGCTTGCTGATAAATGCTGAAGTCTTCATTTTTCTTGATGTTTCAGGAATAATATGAATTTCCTAATGGGATCTTGGTGGCCAAACTTGGAAGACTTGTATGAAGCCAACGTCCCGGTTTATAGGTTTATTCAAAGACCTGGGGATTTGGTGTGGATAAATGCTGGCACTGTTCATTGGGTTCAGGCTATTGGTTGGTGCAACAACATTGCATGGAACGTTGGCCCTCTTACAGGTATGGCTGAATAGTGCCTGTGCTGAACTACATAATTAGATGGTATTATACTACTAATGCCATGGAACCTGCAATTTCTTACTTATTTACCATGCTTTACTAGATTAAAAAAAAACCCACAAAAACATACAGTATTTTAAAACACGATGTTTTGAAGCTTTAAATAATTCTGCTGGTCAGAGAAAGCAGCAAGAATGCAGTTTTTGTGCTCATTCATTTAATGTGCTTGTAAAAATTAACAGTTGTATAGCAAACACTAGCAGAATAAATGTTTATATTAATTCATACATTCTCTCTTGTAGGCTATTTCTTAGCTTTTTCTCTTAAAATTTGTTCTGCCCAGCAGACTGCACTACAGCTTGCATATGAATTGAAGGACTTGTGCAGGTTAACTTTTTGGGGGCAGTGGATACGTAATTGCTCTTTAGTGAAATCATCAGGAAATGTGAACAGTTGTAAAATTTTGTTAATAAAGGAATATAAGGCTTTTCAGACTTACTGCTCTAGAAGTCTTTAGTTTTAAACCATGGCCTTGGAAGGTTTGTAGATGTGAGAATGAAAGGAAATTTCTCAGCTAAAATGATTGTCAGTCATTTGAAGAGCATGTACTTCCAAAAAGCCCCTGTTTTCTTAAAAGAGTTTTAAGGGATGTCTTCATTTCATTATGGTGTAATAAACAGTATATCCAGGATAGTATGATTGACTGATACAGAACTTGCATGTTCAGTCGCAGTAAATTTTGCCAAACATTTCTTTTAAAAGGGTGGGGTGAGTAAGCTGCTTAATGAAAAAGTTTTACTCACTGCAACAAATCTCTCATGGTGCAGTCCTCATTTTCAAGATAAATTTTATACTATAGCATTGTAAAATTATGATACAGTGAATAGAGATGCAGACATTTCAAATTCAGATGTTTTTCATCTGCTATATTTGAAAATATATTAAGTAACCCTTTTTGAAATACTGCTTTCTGTTCATCATAGAAATTGAACACTTGTCAGTAACTGGTTTTCACTGATAGTTGCTGCTGCTGTAGTATTGTGTTTTCTTTAGTATCATAAATGCATTTTGTAAAAGAAATTCTATAGAATTCAAGTGTAGTTGGAATGAATGGGTCATTGCGAATGAAGTTTAATCAAGCCTTAAAAGGTATAAATTTGAATTGTAATCAAGTTATTTTGGCTCCAGTTGATTTATTTTTTAATTTCACTAATTGCTTCTGTAATTTTGTTTTTGTGCAGCCTGTCAATATAAATTGGCAGTGGAACGGTACGAGTGGAATAAACTGCAGAGTGTAAAGTCCATAGTACCCATGGTTCATCTTTCATGGAATATGGCTCGAAATATCAAGGTCTCAGATCCAAAGCTTTTTGAAATGATAAAGTAAGTTTTATTTATTTGAACATTTACTGTATGCTTTTCCTCTTCAAGCATAAAACAATAGTTGATTTGTAAGTAATCCTTTCTAAGACTTCTGTTCCTGAGAATCAAGCCAAATTTGTTTTATATTCTGTTTTTCAAAGAATCAAGATATCGTTAATTTTTCTGTGTTTTATTTGATGTTATTGTGGCACAGCTTTAGAGTGATATAATTAAATTTTTTTCTTAAATATGCCATAGCCTTCATGCGGGAGTTTACAGAAACAGTTGAATTAGATGACAAAAACTGTTCAGAATACTTACCATAAGAAATAAAAAAAATAGGTCATCAACTCAAATATTAGAATTGGAGTTTTCAGTCATTTTTACAGCAAAGTTAAACTTAATTTTTACATTTCTAGAACCTCTAGTTAGTGCTCACGTGCTGTCGTTTGGAGATCCACTATAAATGTCTTAAATAAAGGCAGGTAGGAATTTGAAAGTCTCCTACCTTTTGCTTTTTCTTCTGAACAATGAATTATTTGATGTGCAAAATGATAATTGAGTTTAGTGATTTTTTTCATATGCATACTCCAAAATGCAGGAATGTTCCAGGCTTGGAGCATATTTAGTGATTTTCTTCAAATAGTTCAACTTCAAGCAAATATAATCATACTGCAGCACCAATATACCTAGACTGAGGGATGAATGAACAGTTCTGCATATATAGAATCGTAAGTTTGTCCTAGAGAAAGTGGGGGAATTAATTCCAAAGCAGATTACTCATCACAAGAATACTCTGGTAGCAGCACTCGATTTTCCTTTAGTCTTAACAAAGGAGCTTGTAGCTTGAGCACTTCTTCAATCTTATCCACATACTGGATCCACAAGCATTGAATCCTTTTGTAACTTGGCTTGAAGTGGACCTTTAAAAAAACATGCAAAAAAGGGCAGTGAAAAATAATTTCTTTTTTTCCGCAGTAGGATTTATTGATGACATCTGAGTGAGACACCTTTTTACAGTAGGATTTTATTTTAGGCTTGAACATGTATTGCAGCATGGTAGAATTGGTAAAATGATAATGTAAGAACCAAGAATGTTGGAAGTTTAAGACAAGTTTGTAGCCACTGCAAAGCTGGATTTCGGAATAGCATTTCTGTGTGAATACTTTCTTAAAATCTAGTAACTAATATCTAGGGTAGAGAAAATCTTTGCTGAAGGCTTGACAGCCCTACCCCTTCAAATAAGCTATTAGTGTTCATATTCAGAATGCCAACTGTCACAGAAGGGAGAGGAGAAACTGAAGAGATAAAGTGAGAAATAGGGGGAAAAGAAGCAGGGTGTGGGAGGGAGGAAGCAAAAATGTCCATTTAAAAAAAAAAAAACAAAAACAAACAAAAACCCCTAAAAAAACCCACAACACAAACATATTTCACAATTATCTTTATGTATCTTCCTAAACCTGGCAGCCATCTATTGTAAAGCTTGGAACAGTTTTAGAATGTTTGTGGCAAAGTGTGATTTTGATGTTCTATCCACCTGTATTTTGCACTTGCACAAGTTTGGGGGCTTTTGCCATGGTTTAGACTTAAAAAGAGAGAACACGTCTGAGCATAGCATCCTTTTCCAGGAGAATTGCTCAAAATATTGTGAAGAAACCAGAGGACAGAATGGTAGTTTCCTGTCGTCTTGCTGGCTGGACAGCAGCTGAGCTGTTTCTAGTGAGACACCTAAATTTAAGGTGTAGATTACAAATAAACAAAGATGCTGAGGAGCAGATACAAACTTCGGTCTTGGATACATTTGTGTTTTCCAGTCTGCTGATACCATTTCCAGTTTATTTGGATAAAGTCTTCCATCCAAGTTGTCAGTCAAACCCAAGCACCATGCTATGTGTGCAGAAGGAAGGAAGAAGATCGAATTATGAGCTCTAGTTTAATACACCTAGTAGCAGTAACATGAGAAAACTCCTTCATTGTGGCCACCTCTGTAATTATGGTATAGCTGTTCCTAGAAATAGGTGTCACCAGAATATGCAGTCTAGTTAGTATCTGACCTTGGCTTTGTAACCGTACTGGAAGTGCATAAACCTTCATGCATAATTTTCCTATGGACTGCTTGTCTGCAGGAAAATAGCACCAGCTGGCAAGTAGCTGCTACCCACTTTTCCTGGATTTTATGATGTACAAAATAGAGACGTTTGTGTGTTTATATATTTGTATGCGTGTACGCAGGTGTATAAAAAAACTTAAGAAAGAGTGATTTCTGATACAGCCGGTTGAATTCATCTTGAATAGCTGACTTTCCATTTGTCATCAGGAAAAAAAAATGTATTGGTGACACGGCTGTCATCTTTTTGCCAAATACAGAATCTGTATCTAAAATTGCACACTGAAGATATCTGAAGTGTTTAGGCAGTTTGACTTCTGTCTCTGAAGCTTCTTAGGTATCAGAATAGTGCAAAAGAATATAGCTCTTGGAAAATGGTAAAAAGTAGATTTATTTTTTTTTTAAAAAAGTAGTTTATTTAAAAAATAAATATATATATGTCTTACTGGGTTATGTGAAAGGAAACACTACAGAGAAAATAAAGTAAAATTTAAGGATACATATAAATACTAGGAAGCAGATAAATTATTAAAAGAAATAGAATAACACTAGGGGAAAAATAATAGGAGACTGTTTTTGGAAGAAATCGGAAATCTCCTTACATTTTTAGTTACTGCGCAATTCAGTGCTCTCTTGCTAGAAAAAAGACAAAGAGCAAAAACTGAAGCTTTCCTCATGAAAATTTTTTAAAGATACTAATAGTAGAATCATGAGCAGGAACACAGGCAGGCAAAATGATGTAAAACTTGACTTCAAGAAAAGAAAAAAATAACTGCAGGCCTCTCAGATGGAAGATAGAAGGACTTTAAAAAATGCATCTGAGGAAGAGAAGAATTTTGGATATAGTGGGAACACTGTAATAAAGGCTTAAAAAATTAATTCCCAAGTAACTGAAATACTAAGTTGTTTTACAAAAATAGTTCTAGAAACGTAAAAGAACATGACATGGGAGAAAGGATTTTCACAAAATCATGAAGCCAGATTAAACACATTCTGGTATCAGTAGGGAAGATACATTACTGAAAGGTATAAGGAGTTCAGTTTTGCATTGCCATTGGGATGGTCTCCACAGTCATAAAACTTTCACTGGATCTAAGTATTCAAACAGGTTTCTTACTGCCCTTCTAGAATAAATCAGGACATCATCCTGATGTCCATTTTAAATTGTACTTAAATATTTGAATTTGACCGGACGTGATTTAGTCACACTCTTCGTGCCATACCCTTAAAGCATTCAAGAGAGGTGGTCTTGATTTTCTCTAAATAAATTCTCACTGTACAAGAATAAAACCAGGCCTACAGTACTAAAAGATGACACCATTTAATTTACACACTGCAACTTGCTAGACATCTTTTTTCTTTCTTTAGGCTTCCCAAACTTCAGGAAATAGTGGTGCATATTCAAAGTGATTATATGCTTTCTCCCATTCTTTGACAGCATGAAAGTTTAGGTTTTTAAGTGCTATTTCTAGGATCTGAATTTTATCCAAGGAGGGGGAATTCACCTTCAAGCTGTTGTTTTTTGCTTTCATTACGAATTTGGCAGACATTGCAGGGGTGTTATATGTGGGTTACAACTTGGGGCAGTTCTTCTGTCACAAGTGTAACACTAGAATAGTGTTTGAAAATAAAACTTTGGAAAGTCTTTGAAAGGAGGGAGTAGAGAACAATGGTGACCAGCGTGCAGATGTGCTTCCAGCTATTCTTTGGCATACCCAAGCACTTCCACATAACAGCAAAAGAGAAGAATGGTAGCTGTTAAGTTTATTTGGAATGAGGCAGTATTGTATAAAAGAATCCTATACCAAAGTTACTGAGCTTGTCAGCAGCATGATACCCTGACGCTCAAGTGATTAATATATGATCAGTTGCATATGGTTGGCCTTAGCATCTTAAGTTCACGTACATCAAACTTTGAAAGTGTTGAAGGAGTTACAGCTAGATGAGCTGTTCAATTCTATTAAAATTTGGCATATGAAAACATGATGTTTGATACACAAACATGCTTTCATTTTTGCATTATTCTTACAGTAAGGGTATTAATGAAGCCACAGACTTAGTTTTTGTGTAGATGAGCGGTCTGAGTGTAGAACATCAAGAGGGGGGTATCTCAAAGTAAGCCTAAGATTCTGTTAACTACTTGGAAACACATGAAAGAAACTTTCTCGCTTTTTTTTAATGCAGAATGTATGTATTATATCTTTAAGGCTTTAAAATAGGAGAAGGATCAAGTTTGAAAACATTTTGATAGAACTCTTGAGCACTTTGTTTTCTGTTCAGTGTTTATTATTCCCCTTACATTTTTTCAATCTTCCTTCTACATCTAATGAGCATGTAACATAACCACCCTGTGGAGGAGAAAATTAAATGCTGCAAAGGCTGCAGCTCAAATAAATAGGATAGCTGAAAGCTAAAAATTACTGTAAATAACATTGTAACTTAAAAATCTGGCGACCTGTTTTGCCAACTTCTTTTTAGAGAACGTATGTAGCTCACACAAAGCTAGAAAACAAGTTAGATTTTCTAGTACAGAAGAGAACGGTATAAAACTGAAGATAAAATTGGGGTTTTCGCAGGGAAACAGGGAATTGTTGATTTTAATTTGACATTTGACCAGTTCCTTTCTTCATTCTTTTTTCTTTTTCTTTTTTTCTTTTTTTTTCTTTTTTTTTTTGAAGGGACTTTGTTTTCTAATACCAACCTATTCTTTTTCGTTTTACATGGAAGAAAATATTTTATCTTTCATTCTAAAAGGATTTTACTTACACTGTGTGTAAAGTGATTCCTGTCAGGACTTGGGGTAACTGAAAGTTTAGTAGTGCTGAGGGAGTAATAGGTGTTTTAGGATCTAAGTTAAAGCAGATCTTTGGATTAGGCTATAGTCATTTATACAAAATGTAAACAGTTTGAACTTAGCAGTTCAAACTAGCTTTTTGCTGATAAATTCATTGTTCAAAATAAAATACTTTACTTGCTTTCAAAAACACATTGGTTTATTGTGCTTAAAAAAAGAGCATCCATGCATTCCAGTCAAAAATGAAAGATACAGCTTGTTTGCAAGGCCAGGGGCAGTACTGAGAGGTCCATAACCATGTAGTTTAACTTCTACCTAAATCACGATTCTAGTGATTCTTAGTAGCCAGCCGTTCCTGAAATTGCACAGGAAGAGGAAATTCCAGGTACAGGGTGTTGGAAGAAATTTAATCCTACTTGAGGCATCCTGTAAAGTTGAATACTGAACTGAATATACAACTGTTTTTGCTTACAGGTACTGCCTGTTAAGAACTCTTAAACAGTGTCAGACACTGAGGGAAGCTCTAATTGCTGCAGGAAAAGAGATTGTCTGGCATGGGCGAGCAAAGGACGAGCCAGCTCATTACTGTAGCATTTGTGAGGTCAGTAAAAATATGTGTAGGGCTTGTGTGCTATTATAATAGTTATTTAAATTTTGTCCTGTCTTCTCTGTTGTTGTTGCTATTTTAATTTTGCTTTTAAGTTGCAGCATGTACTATATGCTAACAGCCCATATATGTGATGCTGTACAGTCTTTAAAGAGCTTTATCAAGCTATTTTTCTAGACATAGGCTGCAGTCTCTTCCACGGCATTGTTATTCACAAGGTTGATTTTCAATTCTCAGTTATTATAAAACGTAGTTATCTCTTCCTGCATAAAATTCGATCTGCTGAGCTTCATTTTGAAGGTGTATGTGTCTTCATTTCAGAAGTCAACAACAGCCTCAAACGAGAGAGAATTTAAGTGCATTTTCTTCACAGGGACATACGTTTTTCCTTGAATTTTCGATTCTACTTTCTGTTAATAGTATCTTTAAAGTATTGGATAAAAATTTTCATGAAGTTTAACAGGAAACGAAATTTTCCTACCCCCTGAGAATCAGTTTCTAGTCATCTTCTGGCTCAGCCTCTTGGGCAGGATGGGCTCATGACCAAGTAGTAAGGAAATAGATCATGAACTTCGTTTGCAAACAAAATTAAAAAAGGAGAATTGGGTGTAATTGTTGCAAATCCCTACCTTACTGAGTAACCCCTATTTAGAGTATGAATCATTCTTTGCCAGTATTGACCAGAAGCTTTCCCATAGCACTGTTCGCGCAGACATCAAGTGAAATATTAGTGGGTTTAGAATATTTCACTTCTCTGCCTGAGCCTAAGGATAGATTTTCCCTGAACAAATGTAATTTTTCTCTTTGTATGCAAAGAGTAAGGTTGTAAATTTTGAAGAAAATACAGTTTTGTGGTTTAACTTCTAAAAAATGAAATTGTAAGTGTTGACTTTCTGTTTCCTGTCTAATAGGTGGAAGTCTTTGATCTGCTTTTTGTCACTAGTGAGAGCAATTCTCGAAAGACCTATGTCGTACATTGCCAAGACTGTGCACGAAAGATAAGCACGAACCTGGAAAATTTTGTGGTGCTAGAACAGTACAAAATGGAGGACTTGATGCAAGTCTATGATCAATTTACATTAGTAAGTCAAATTAATAAGTGGGTGCATAAATACATTATTTGTAAAGCAGTTGTAGACTGTCTTGGTACTCCATTGTATGAGTACTGTGGACTTGATTCAAATGGAGGTTTGGGTTATGTGTGATACTTGCTGAACAAAACACTGAAGAGTCAGAATTATGTCAAATAGTACAGTAACTTACTGCAGAACATAACCACTGAGTTATCAGGAAAAGTATGATGTTACAATTCATAAAGTTGTGGCTTTAAAAATCCAATAGAGATCACCTGAAGACCATAACTGGATCAGATGGAGATGGGAAGAATCAGGACAGTGAAGCTTGGAGAAACTAGCACCAGGTTCAAGAGCATCTCTAATACATTGGTTGTGGTATGAAGTCAGTATAGCAGCAGAGCATCCTATGCACTCAGACCCCTTCTTTCCCCTTCCCCTTTTCCACCCATCCCCTCCCAAATCAGCACTGTCCTTCTGCTTAGCAAGTGGATGCTCTCAAACAGTTCTGTCTTTTGGCTTGGGGCCTCCTTTGCATTTCAATTTAAAGCAAAAAGCCTCTTTGCCATTATAGCTTTGTGCTATATATGGCAGCCTCCTGCTTTGAACTATGTCAGCACAACTGTCCTAACATTTCACCCAGGTTTCATTGTTTCAGGCAAAGATGGCTTGTTTGTAATCACAGTGAAAGCAATGCTGGATTTTATTCATAAACCTTGCCTTTCTGTCAGAGGAAACAAACGTTGGACTAAGTGTTACAAGAATTTCATGTCGAATTAAATACAACAGCCCAGAAATGGCTGTGTCTTTTGATTCATTTCCAGGTGCTGCAGAAAATGTATGTCTAGACAGTTATTTCATGTAATGCTAGCATGATAAGTTGTGACCTTTTGAGCCAAGGCCTCAAGGTGCAGCAGCAGAGGCTGGCAAATGTGCAGGACCATGTCCTCTAAATTTAATTCTTTGCATTGGTCCTACAGAGCCTGAGGTGACTGAACTTCAATTCATACTTCTAGGAACACATTGTCATTACAGTTTGCGAAATACGGCAATTTCAAAGTGATGTTATAGAAAAGCATATAAATAACCACCTGTTCTCAGATACGTCATCCAGTTGAGTGGAAATTTGGAAGAACGTTTCTGTATGGAAAAGAGGGGCGAGGGAAGGGTATTTTGTTGTCTGTGTTTATAACATTTATAGGTAACAGTTATATTGTCCCTAGAACAAGGGTTCTCAACCTGTGAGTGGCTCCCTTCCCCACCAGAGCCTATGCTTGCAGCCCTAAAGGGCATTAATAATTGTTCTTCTGTGAAACTGGTGTGCACACTCATTTCTTTTAAAGGGGATACAGTCTCAATTGAGAAGAGTCATAGCCTAAAAGTTGACATCAAAAGAGTTACGGTTTGTTGCAAGTCACAGGGTGAAGATAATTTCAGATGGCAAAGATGCAGTAGGCCTAACAAAGAGGTTCTGTGTTTGGGATACAGTATTTGGAGCAAACGGGGATCAGCTAGTGTTAGTGGTTCATAGGTGGGTACTATGATATGATGTAAAATGTCTTTAAAGACTGTGAGCAGCTTCTTGAAGGTATTCCATGTCATGATGGGACTGATGAGCAGGAAGAGAAGGAAGTGCCATCAAAGATTCAGTATTTTGATAGCAGTGCCGCAGAGTGCAGTAATGGGTAATAGTTGGCTATCTTCTTGACCTTGTCTCCTGAAAGCAGGCAGGAACAAGACACCTAGCTGACTTCACTCTTGAGCCACTCAGGTGATGTCTTCCATGATGGGGAGAAAAAAAAAAAACAAACACCTTTCTCCTGTATAAGACGATTTGACATCCTTACCACAGATCTCCTAACTTCACAACTTCGGGTTCTGTATTGTTGTTTAGGTAGAAGGGGGGGAAATGAAGCCCACAAGGCTTTGGAGAGCCACAAATGGACTAATAAGCAGGTTGAGAACCCCTGTTTCAGAGTATTTAAGGATAAATCTACACCGAGCCCACACAGAGCTCTTTGCTGCCACAGTGGGACTTACTTTGGCAGCTCACATCATGTTAACACAGACATCCCCACAGCATGCTCCAGTCTGCAGTATAGGCAAAATCCTAATGCAGAGTAGTCGTAAAATGCACATTTTATCTGAGTAAGTTGGAAGAAAACACGAGTGTCCACTTGAAAGAGTCCAGAAGTATAAAAACAGTAGTGCCTGTGACTTAAAACTCTCATGGTTGTAATTTGTGCAGGTTTTGGTTAAACAACAGAGTTCTACACCCTTGTAGAAAAGGTAATTTAATGTTTTCTTTTTCAGGCTCCTCCATTGCCATCCTCCTCATCTTGACATTTTTTCATGGACATTAAATGAAAACTTTTCTGATATTCAGGAAGTGACCCAGTTCTGCACCACTGATTTTTGTAGCTATCCCGTAAGGCTGCTGGCTGAAAGCTGTGTCTATGCAACCTTCCAAGTGCGGAGTGTCAACCAACTGGACAGGAGAGAGCACTGCCTCCTACTCCAGAACTCAAAACAAATAAAGCTCATCCAGCTGTACTTCAAAAAAATAATTCCATGTTTTGTATATATCTGACAAAACTGGCAACATTATACAGACTACTGACTTGAAGACCACCTCTTTTGTATTTCTCTGTTTCTGGGCTGATGAGTTGGTTTCATCCATTTTTCCCCTTCAGAATTTCCCTTGGAAAAAGTACTAGCTTAGCTGGTCATTTCTTTGTAAGGTAGTTAGAAATTTTAAGTCTTTCTTTGGGCAACTTTTTTTTTTCCTTTTTTTTTTTTTTTCTTTTTTTTTTTTTTTTAATGTGAAGAGTTAGGTGATATAAATTTTTTTACTGCTTTTATGTTCTTCTGTCTTGTTTTGAAACCATGACGGTTACACTTTTGGTTCCTAAATAAAATTTAAAACAATTAACAGCCAAGTCACAAAGATAAATGGGTTGCACATAGACTAAGGAATAAACTTCAGATTTGTGATTTTTGTTTCTAATCTTGATGTAAATTTACACTATTTATAAATACATATTTATTGCTTGAAAATATTTGTGAATGGAATGCTGTTATTTTTTCCAGATTACCTGCCATTGAAATTTTAAGGAGTTCTGTAATTTCAAACACTACTCCTATTACATTTTCTATATGTAAATAAAACTGCTTAGCATTGTACAGAAACTTTTATTAAAATTGTTTAATGTTTAAAGTTTTTCTATTGTTTGAGTTTTAAAAAGATTTTATGTACAGTGCCCAGTTTTTGTTCTTTTTTGAACCTGATATATATATTTTATATATACTCTTGTGCTTGTGTATATATATAATATATATAGAAACTCGAATATAAATATGTGTATAAAGATTTAGAGACTAAATTTTTCTCGTTTTAAGTTTTACATCTATGGTAGATTTGAGGTGTCTACTGTAAAGTATTGCTTACAAAAGTATGATTATTTTTAAAGAAATATATGGTATGTATCCTCAAGACATAGAATGACCTTCAGACTGGTTTATTGTTAAATTGCACTTTTTGCAATAACAGACCAATAAATAGTTGCTGCCAAAATGTAGTAGTAGAAAATAAGTAATGGCTAAACTTTAAAGCTCTTCAAGGAAATACCGGCTTTGACAGGAAGTTTGGCACTAGTTTTAGAGGAGGAATGAAAAAGGTGAATTTGAGTTCGGGTGGGGATATTCTCTAGAATTCAACCAAATGGCAACTTCTATATTACAATATGTTCTATTAACAGTTTAAAAAGTTAAGACTGAATCATCTTGGCGTCACTGTTGACCCCGAAAAAGGACGTTGTTTTGTGGTATTCTATTGTATTTTCACATATTTTGTAATACGAATTCACTGGTAAATTTTTGAAGCACTAGGTTTATTTAGGACAAGTTTATAATATATCATTGTAACAGTTTGCAGTTTTAATGATGGTATTTATTTTAAGTTGCTCCTTTCTCATTAGCTTCTTGAAAATGCATTAAATCTAAATTTCAAAATTGATAGCTTTCTGATCGATCAGAATTGACTGATGCAGAAGGTTCTGCATCAAACAGTTTCTCATAATTTCTCATTAGTGGGGTATGTTAGTGATTGCATTGTTAAATTTTTTGTAATCAATGTGAAGTGTTAAAGGCACAGAGCATGCTGATAGTTTCTTTTGAACAAAAAGAATTGCCTCTTACATTGTAGCTTCAAACGAAGGGTGTTTTAATGAAGAATCAGTACAGCTTGTCTAATGCTGTTACAACAGTTTAACTGTAGTTATAACTGACTTCCTTGCTAGTTCTTAGTTGGACAAAAGGGTATAGAGGTTGAAGAAAATCATAACAAATGCTCTTGCCAGCAAAATTACCAACTAGTAGTAAGGAAGCAAGTATTTGCAGTTCTGTAAAGATGTAAGTCTCAGCTCTTGATAACAAACTCTACAAATCGTAATTTTTTACTTATGTATTTTATGCAGTCATAAACATTGTAATCTTGACAAACCATGCTGCAACTGAAAAGCTACTCCTTTACAGTAGTCTTAAACCCAAATAAAAGCAAGATAACTTACCTCAACTAATGGTAAACAAAAAGTCCTCGTTTCTCAGTGCTGTAAAAGAACTTTGCTAACTAGGGAAAG